AGCAGCTCGGAGACCAGAGGGTAGTTCGTGCGCCCCAGCGTGCGTGGTGCCAGTGTCACCCGCACAAGGCCGCCACCCCCTATCAGGGCGGGCTGATGGGGCAACTGTTGCTGCTTTGTCACACACCCTTCCACAATCTCGCACTCGTCGCCACCGCTGCCTTTCTTCCGAGACGGACTTCTGCCCGATATGTCTTCCACAGACACCTACTGCGGTGGCAATAATCGTAAACTTCGTAAAATCGTAAAATTTATATATTTTTTTTTTAAGTTTGAGTGCAGTGATGAACCATTTAACAATCGCATGTTATTTATATCATTTTGAAAAGTTTATACTTTTTAGGCTTGTGCAGCCTTAAACGAAACTGTGCACACTGTAAATTGTCTGCCAATAGCCTCCAGACTTGTTTATTAGATCATTTAATTTGCAATTGCAAAGAATTGTGCTGCCATCCATCAATACAGCTCATACAAGTCCTTTAAAAATTAAAAAGCGTCGTTGTATGAATTGAAAAGTGTAGGATTGTGCGGACGACGCGATTGGCTGGCGAGAGAGCTAGCTGGAACAGAGCCTGGTTCGCAGCGACATTGCTAGGACGTACTAAACAAAAATAAAATAGCACCATTCCAATGCCCCTACCCCCTACCTACCTACCGTACCTCCTACGCCACCAACGCGAGAGAAATTCCGAATTCCAAACATCCCTGAGCATCCCAGCCCAGCAGGAGCTTCATCATGGCGATCTTTCATATTATGAGCCAGCGGGGCTCGGCTTTATTGTAGAAACAACATACCTGGCGTTCCTCTCCCACGCCCCGCTACTCCACGCTCCGACGAACCCCGCACCGCACAACCCCAGCAGGCCAGCGAGCGCCGTTCCAGCCTCTGTGCGCGGAAACGCTGCTGTGAAAGTTTTGAACCGTGAACCAATCCGTGACGATGTTCTGGTTCTAGTGCCCCAGAGAGAGAGAGAGAGAGAGAGAGAGAACGAGAGAACCAGTTAACAGATATGCAGGCGAGCCTCGACGCCACCCCTTGATGGCCTAAATATTTCGCACGCATCCGTTCAGCACGGAAACAATCAAAAGATTAATTGACTGTTATTTTTTTTTGTCGCTGTGTGATGGGATGCGCCATAGGCAGGACCGCCATTACGTGGATATAATTTGTTCTTTTAGGGGGAGGGAGGATTTTTTTTCTACTCACCGGCACTCAATGGACCGTGAGTCGTGTGGGGATGGGGGACTGTAAAACGAACGAACATCACGGGACCGGTGATGTTGCATTTGAATTTAATTAGACCCGACCTGACTCTTGAACCGCATGTAATGACTTGTTTTTGTTGGTTTTTTTCCTTCTACGCTTTTCTGTTCAGTACACGTGCTGATGAGAGTGACTTAGTAGAAAATGAGCTGCATGATTCATTCTTAAGTTGTTTAGAAAAGATACCAACGTTGTTTTAGCCCTCATAATTTTTCCGTCAACATCCTGAAAAGACATATGTATTAAAAAAGAAGACCCAGCAGACTGTATATGTGCGCGTGTGCGCGTGGTGTGCATCAGCCAGTTGGCTCCTGACTCCTCCCTTGCGTGTTGCCCTAATCTCCCAATCCCTTAAGCTGAGCCGTTCGTTTAATTTATTGTGGGGCCAAGAACGCCGCGCAAACGCCACGGCACGCCACGATTCACTTTGCCACGTTCTGCGCGGCCCTCTGTTTGTATTAGCCGACTTTGAAAGCAAAAGTTTGCGGGCTGGTCGGGGTCGGCCAGGTTGGAGCCGGCTGCTCGTGGAAGCCACAGTGGACGGGGAGAGCTCGGCCGACACAGGAAAGAAAGGTGTGGGTGTGGGGAGTGCACCAGCAAACCTGCTAGAGTTTAAAGGTGCTGATGGTGATAATAGGTTTTGAACTTTCTGGGGACGGTATTTTCAACGCGAGCGAGCGCCACTAACGAAACACTAGAGAGCCTTAAGTTACTCTCCGAATGGAAACTAACTATGCGTTTCGAACGGGTAAGCTCGCCTGATTATTTTTCGCAGTGAGAACAATTCATTAGGGAGTTTACAGTCCATTACACCGAGTCTGGCCCGCAGACCCGGCCAGAGCGGGGCCAGAGTGGCCCCACCGGGGACTCGCCGCGGCTGCAGCGCGGGCGGGGCGGCGACCCCGCCGGGGGATTGAGAAAGCAAGCCGGGGCCCGCCCCACCGGGCAATTAGCTTTGTTTGCGAGTCCAGCCGGATAGAGGAGGAGATGCTTATAATGAAAGCGGGCAGCGAGAGGTGCGCCGAGTAGGCAAGGGATTTGGCCTTTTTGCGGTACCCGTCGTCGAGATGTCTGTGGCCCAACGAGTCGAGCTTCGTTGTGCCTCTGGCAGGTGAAACGCTCCCCTAAGGTAAACCGTTTTCTCCGCAAGGGTTACACCCTCCCTGAGTAGGCGTTCCATTACTTATCTACTCTGAAATACAACGAGACCTCCCATAGGCTAAGATGTTCTAGACTTAATTAGTTTTCCTTAGAATGGCAAAGTTTTTGTGGACACCCAGAACTGGGAAAAATTTGTGTTTCCCTCTGCGACAACGCTTCGCTGCAATGTACGAAAGTCTCACCAATCTAAGGACAAAAATTCTGCTCCATGAAGAGTGTTTGGTTCCAAATGGTTGCAAGTATCTGGGGACAAAGCGTTTCCTTTCGTTCGCAACAACTACAAAACATATCATTGTGGTATGTTGCTATCTTAAAAAATGTGACAAATACACACTGACGTATTTGCCATGGTGCGAGCAGCTCGCAATAAAACACACGCGGCGAATCATTTTTGGCCGAGTTTGCGACTATATTGACTCGTCTCGAGAGCAGAGCAGTGGTTTGCAACAGCCGCATGAGGTGCTCAGCCACCCTCAGCAGCCCCGGCCGCTGCCGGCCCAGCTCGGGGGCGCTGCTGGCTAGCCTGTGGGAGTTGGCCGCTTGTTGCGGCCATCCCGTGCATTCACATTGAGGTCAGAGTTCACTGCGCAGTCCCACGCGCCACCCCGTGTTGCGGCTAGCCGCGCACTTCGGCCGACGTGCTGTGTCGGTGCTCGGTGCGCGTGGCGGGTATGGGAAAGTGTGTGTGTGTGGGTGATGGTTCCAGGCCCTGCCTCAGTGTGTGTGTGTGTGCGTGTGTGTGTGTGTGGGGGTGATGGTTGGAGGCCCTGCCTCAGTGTGTGTGTGCGCGCGCGTGTGTGTCTCGGGGTGAGTCTGAGTATCGCTAACGAGCGTGGTGTGGGTGTGGAAACCTCCGGCGTAAAACTTTGCCGGTAATTGGGCCCTGCTGGGCTGGGGGCGGCGCAAGGGGGGCGGCGCAAGGGGGGCGGCGCAAGGGGGGCGGCGCAAGGGGGGCGGCGCAAGGGGGGCGGCGCAAGGGGGGCGGCGCAAGGGGGGCGGCGCAAGGGGGGCGGCGCAAGGAGGAGGGCGGCGGGCGCCGTACATTATTTGATTAATTGCGGCGTCGCAGATTAAAGGGTGAGCCTGCCGCGGCCCAGATCAGCCCGCCCTGCCACGCCCTGCCCGTCCCCGCCACGCCCCGCAACGCCCCGCCACGGTCGGTAATCCGCAGCAGATGAAATCTCTCACACGGTGCTGTGTGGTCCGGCCTGGCCAGGCCTCGTGGGCGTTGAGAACAAGAGTGGGGGAAGAGAGAGAGAGAGAGAGAGAGAGAGAGAGAGAGAGAGAGAGAGAGAGATTGTGGCTGCGGCCGCACCGTCGGTGGGTCCCATACCCGACGCGGTAAATATTGATTTTGGCGGTTACAATCATTTTCGTTGAAATACCATCTACAATTTCCATTATTCATTCATGCTTCATATTGCTTAGGCCGCAGACACCGCGCCGCAGCTACTGCACATCCCTCGACCTCCCTCACGCTCTTATTTTTATTTTGTTTTTGTTGTGTTCGGTCCGTATCTCGGTACGCGGGGGTGGGAACGGGGCGTCCTCCAATCGCACACCCACCCCTATACATGTGATTACAGAGGGGCGCTCCCAAGTGGCGCGCAGAGCGGAGCGCAAGCGGGGCCTTTTATTTGGCCATGTCAAGGCCACTGGCCTGGCGCGCCCGCCCCGCCGCCCCGCCACTCTCGGAGTACTACTTGCCAAACATACTCGCCGGCGAGTGCACGGCAAACTAGGAACCTGGCCCGATCCAACCGTAAACCCTCCTCGCTCTCTGCTTTCGCGCCATCCGAGCCCTCTCCGCTCCACTCCACTCGAGGGGAGAGAAGGGGTTAAGGGAGGGGGGTGGCTGCCAGGGCCGCAGAGAGACAATGGGCCCCTAATCATTGGGACCTCGGATCCAGCCGCGCCAGCCGCGCCTCCCTCCAGCAATACCCCCAGCGACGCCTGGCTCCCAAGGCCTGGCTGCTGTCATCGAGGACAAGAGGGCAGAGTGGCGGGCGGGGCGGGCGGGGCCGGCGGGGCGCAGCAGCAGCCATCGTGACGGCGCGGCCCAGCCATCAGGTGCAGGGCCTCGGCAGCGCGCACACTGTATGCCGAAAGGGGGCCGCTCGATACCACTGTGGGTAGGCTTTCGTAAGGGCTACGGAAAGTTCTTCACTATAAATGGCGTAAGAATGTCGCGGAATTTAGAAATTGAAATTAAGAATTCTATTTGCTAAGTTATGAATTCTTTTGTGGTCAAATTACAAAGTATCCGTATCATTATGAATCAGTTTAGTCTTTGTCGACGACAAAACTTACATTTTTTTTATCAGTGTTGTGTATTTTACTCGTAAAGTACAAAGCAACGAAACACAGTGTACTAGCGCACGTTTTACGTGCTGAACAATGATATTCAGCTTGTCAGAAAAGTATCCGCAGCACTAAAATGTGCAGTGTGCTGTCGTATTATTTTCTAATTGGGGAAACTGTTGTCAGTATGTATTCGGAGCAGTGGATCTGAACGGGGCCTGGAAAGGGAAGCGAAGGTAGGGTCCGGTGCTCCATGCTGAGGCCGAGGGACTTACGGTGTAGGTTTCGGTAGCGACGGCTCCGGCGGTTTCTCTTCCGGCTGGGGCTCTTCCGGTGGTGACGGGACGGTCCGGTTGGAGTTTGGGGCGAACTTGTTCACTGAAGCAGACAAAATAAAGATCGTATTAGCGAAGTCAATTACACAGTGATGCAAAACCATGGGATTGTTATGTAAACTGTACATCACAGTTATCACAGTTAATACCGGAGTTCATTAACGTCTCGTATTCAGAATTCCTACATGATAACCATTTTAGAAAAACGATACCGTAGGGCCGCGTTCATCATCGTCAGACACGGTGTAGCTAAGTTCGTCAAAACTGACGAAAGCGCGCATTGTAGGTAGGCAGCCACTCATATTCCTAGCTTTTGGGGAATGGAAAGGACTGACTCCCGTTGACGTAATAAGTTTGACATTTTTATGACACTCTGATGCTTAGTTTGTGCTTCGCTCTACGAATATGTAGTGTAGGATTCGGCCTCAGCTCAAGAGAGATATATACACCCCTTGCTTGATCGTTTGTTGAGAATGCCTGTATCTGATCGATGCGATATTTCACTGAAACGCAATTTTAATGCAGAAACAGGGCTTTGTGCAGGCTTAAAACCCGGCAAATTATGAGTAGAGCTTCACCGAGCTATAGAGCCAACGGCATGGCCGTGGCCGCCGGCCGTCGGTCGGGCATCATAGCGGGTGAATAGCGAAAGAGGGGGGAGGAGCAGGTGGTTTCAGAGAAAGTGGGGGCGTTTGGGCGAGAAGAATGGTTGACTTTCTATGGTCCATAAAACGCTGTTGGGGTGGGGTGGGGGCGTCCTCTTTATTGTGATCATCGGAGTGAGAAACCAAAACCCCATCAAAGTTGATTGCTATTACGTATGACGTCAGCTCGTCTGGTCGGCTCCCGACAAGAATTCGCAGACCGCTAGCTCCGCGGCGTTGCTGCGGCCGACTTACGCATCGCAGTCACCCCCCTCCCTCCCCGATCAAACGCTGGCTTCCGTCCTTTTTGTCGACTTCGCCGAGGATTTCGCTAAGTCCGACTCGTAGCCCCGCCGCCGCCCGCCGCCGCCGCACAGTGCTCGAGTGGCTTTGCGCTGCCGGGTTGTGTGCGTCCGGGCCTGTTAGCCTGTCTAGGACCCCGGACCTAGGCCTGGCCGAGCTGACAGCAGAAAACTTTTCACTTCTTTCCTTGACTTTTCTTCACGTCTCGTGCTAGATTAAGCGAGGAGAGTTGGTCTTTCCAGGCCGGGTTAATTTTGCCCAAATGGCTAAATTAATTATTCCGCTGTTAGTCTCTAGGATATCGTCGATTCGGAATTACAAAGTTAGGTAGTTGCCTTACGCTGACTTATTGTTTCCACCGCCTGGCCAAACATTCTCTTTCATGCGGAAAAGAAGCTCAAAACGGGAATGGTCTGTTGTACTTTGCCGAACACATATGGTGACCATGAGATCGCACCGAACGTTCTCTATGCTCTTCGGGCATGACATCGTCTTCATAGCATACTCCCCTATCCAATTCCTGCCTATCCAATAGCCCCACACAGTTAACTGGTGGTGTGGGGACCGAAAACAAACATGCGGCTCGGAAAATAGAGGGATTCTGCGTGCGACTTTATTGCAGGCGAACGGGAGGCCGGAGGCTCCGCTCCCCAACAGGTGCCGTACGGCTGTGGCGCGTATTGCCCTCGCTTCCTCCCCCAAGCCTTTTCACAATCCTCGTAGCGAATTCCACGTGACCAGCCGAGAGTAAATGTAATTTGCCCGACTCGGAAAAGGCTCACCCCGCCCCC